TTAAAAAAAAAAAAAAAAAAAAAAAAAAAAAAAAGTTGAGTAGATTCTATGCCATTCAAAAATAACAGTTATTCAGTGTTCAAATACAAAATTGGTGATATAATTGTAGTGATATTTTGCGTTTCTCCAAGAAGCTAACCTTTTAAAAATTATTTATTTATTTGTTTAGTTTTTTTGCAAAAAATAAACAAAAAAACCTGTTTATTTATTTGTTTCAGATAAAAATAGCTTTAATTGACAGTGGTGCAGATGACTGGCGAATAGCATTTACAACAGAACGTATGACAAAGTTGATTATTGAAATTGCCATCTGCGTTATATGTCCTGTACCTGGTAAAAAAAAAATTTTTTTTTTTTGTTGTTTGAGCTATCCGATACAAATTTTTATCGGAAAATATTTGTAAAATTAATTTTTTATTTATTTATACAATTATATTACAATACGAGTATAGAACGTTCCTAAATTAGCAATAGCGTATTTAAGTCGCTTAAAGTTTACAAGATTATTACGCCTACAGTTAATAGAAATTTGACAGTTGATCAGACCCAGAAAGCTGTTAACAATTTACTGCTAATTTATGTATTTAAAAAGTTGGTAAATGGTTAAGAATAAAGCAAAACAGCAATTAGTGTATAGTAAAATTTTGTAGCGATACTTTTTTGTTGATTTCATAACAATTTTTCTGTTTTGTAAAAATTATCCTTAACAACAATTACATTTTTCATTATAACTGCATTTCGGTAACCTGAAAATAGCACTACTAATCAGATTAAAGAATAATTTGCAATAAAATAAACTTTCAAAAACCTTTTTCAACATATAGTTATTTCTAGGGTTTCTTTTGTTTGTTAAATTTATGCATTTATAACGGTTACATAATCAGCAGTTTGGTTACAGTGTGCTATCATCTAATGGTTTTAATGACTACTGTTTGCCTATTGTAGCTTAAATATAAACTGGTTTTTCTTTTCAACAAAAATAAAGTAATGAAAATATGAGACATTTTTATTTTGGTATATTTGTATTTTAACAGTTTTAAAGTATCAGCAAGAAAACACTTATTTGTCTGCAGGTACCGGAACAATGCGTTGGCCTTTCATTCATGCAGATACACGGCGTATATCGCATGCCGACGTACCAATCGATGTGCTGTTATCTGTACCGATGTTTCTTCGATTGTATCTTCTATGCAGATTTATGGTGCTTCACAGCAAACAGTTTCAGGTAACTATATAAAATATTAAATCTAAATACTCCAAATTTAGATAAATTGAGATACTACCTTTTTTCTTTACCACCAATTTATAGGATGCAGCAACACGGTCCATAGCAGCATTAAACAGAATTTCTATGGATTTCCGTTTTGTCATTAAAACAATGATGGCTGATCATCCATTGCGGGTTTTAGTTGTATTTACTGTAGCATTTTGGATCTGCATGGCCTGGATTTTTACACAATGCGAACGGTCAGTAAATCTACTTTTTTTTTTGCTTTTGAGACAACTGTCTGTCATTTTTTTAAATTATATCTCTACTGTATACTATAAAGTTTAAAAAAAACAATACAGTTTTTTGGAGTTTATAATGTCGTTAAGCTGATTTTTAGTGTAACCAAAATTTTTTGACACTAAATAAACACTTGTACCACACAAAAAATTAATTTTTTCTGCTTCAGTACTGGTTAGCGGATAGACAGAATTGTCTAAATCACTTTTTTACGTAATCCTTTTGTGTTTAAACATTCTAAAAAATCCTTTTGTTTTGAACTGTATAATTGTGCATCACCATTTAAAGCAGTGTTTGAATTCTTTTCCTTATTAGGTTTTATATTCGTGTTTAGCAAACAATTTTCTGCAATCAGTTTTGACTCAAACTTTTTTCTGTTTTTAGTATTACTTCTTTGATGCCTTTTCCTGGACACTCTACGATTATACATTGACGTATTTCAAGAATTTTTATACAGTACACTAGGTGTTAACATCTTCCATATTTCCTCTATAGTTCAGGAATTACAAATGTTATCTTAAAACTGGAAAAAGTTTTCCTTTAAGAAAAAGTAAAATAAAAGAAATGCTTCTAGTATCATGTGTTTTTGACCCAGTGGTTAGTCACACTAATAACGTAGTTAGAGAGATTGGTTTTGTTTCCCAGTTTTTAATACTCACTGCAATCAGTTAAACTTTTCCCATGTTGCAACAGTCATTATTTGTAATAGCTTTAAAATGTTCCCAAAATTGTACACCAATGTCCTTGTTTAGCATCTTACGAAATCACGGCAAAGTACAGGGTGTCAACACTGCATAAATGGGTAGCAGAGATGACTGCCTATTTCATCAAATGTTGAAACTACCTGACAGTTACGCAGAGAATGCTAAAGTTTTAGTTTTTTTTTGGCCTTCTTCGCTTCACTCTTGTGGATACTATAAAAAAATTTCTTTTGTGGACATGGTACAGCATTGTAAGTCCACTGAATAGATATAGAAAACGTCCAATAAAACATTTTTAAATTGTAGCCTAAACTTTGCAAAAACTCCTCTTACCAAAATTAAATCAAATTCGCTACACTTGCGTTACACTTATAGCAGCAATTAGGTCTTTCTGTTTTAATCTGTTTCTGTATCAGTTTTTTTAGCTTTATAACTTAGTATCCAGAAAAGAAATGTGAATTGCAAAAAATCTATGTAATCTGCAAAAACTCCTGAACTTTTAGTAGATCTTATAATTTTTATTTTCTTGGTTTAAATCTGTACAGTTCCTCTAAAACGTAAAGCTTTTATAATAAGCACGGTGCGTAATTTTTTGATTGTTAAAAGAAATTTTTGAAGCAGGTGGTGTTTTAAGATTGAATTTTGTACTATGCTGTGTATGTATTACAATGAGTCAACTTACTAAAATGTGAATAACTATGCACTGTAAGATAAATGAAAAAAATGCTGGCTTGGATTACATTATTGAATGTACAGTTTGGGAACATTTCTTTTAGTGCTGAAGCTATTACAATTGTCTTTGAAATTTAATTTCTTCTGTTCTTTTGTTTTTTGCTAGAAGGTAATAAGCATTAATTAAATGGTTATCTGTTAAATAATAAGTCCTGATCCCTCTGTCAGTT